CAGCGCAAGGTCGACGCTGCCCGCGCTGGCACCATCCACAGGGGCGACGCCTTGGCGCCCAGTGCATTTGCTCGGCTTTCTTCTGGTTTAGGGTTTAGGGTTTAGGGTTTAGGCTGTTTAGGCTGTTTAGGCTGTTTAGGCTGTTTAGGCTGTTTAGGCTGTTTATGCTGTTTAGGGTTTAGGGTTTAGGGTTTAGGGTTTAGGGTTTAGGGTTTAGGGTTTAGGGTTTAGGGTTTAGGACTTTAAGCTTTTGGGTTGTTGTAACAATTACAATAAGGAGCTGAGCTAGGTTCCCTTTTGGGGTCCCCACCTAAAAAAAGCAGGACCCCCCAAATATGGGACCCTAGTTGAGACATGTGTTTAGGGTTTCGGGGCGTACCAGCGCAGAGTTGGGTTTTCGGGAACCCTGAACCCTGAACCCTGAACCCTGAACCCTAAACCCTAAACCCTATACCCTATACCCTAAACCCTAAACCCTAAACCCAGCCCAAACCCCAGTGAGGCTGGTCTCCTCGGCTCTCTCGATCTTCCAACGCCTCTTGGCGCTGGTCCTGAGTCCTGCGGGCTTCGTGCCAGGGTCCTGGAGGGAGGGGGGGGGGGGGGGTTGGGTTTAGGGTTTAGGGTTTAGGGTTTAGGGTTTGGGGTTTGGGGTTTGGGGTTTGGGGTTTGGGGTTTGCGGTTTAGGGTTTAGGGTTTAGGGTTTATGTTTTAGGGTTTAGGGGTAAGGGTTTAGGGTTTCGGGTTGAGGGCTGAGGGTGCAGTTGGGTGGCGGTCTAGGACTCTGGAGCGTGAAGCTGCAGTTGCCGGTAGTTTGGTTCTGAGTAACCCACACCTCCAAATACGGACCCATCATAAACCTGTAAACCCTTAATTAGGAATTAGGGTTCTAACTGCAATAAGAAGCACACGTATTTACTCTTGAGCTAGCAAAGACACCTAAAACCCCAAAAACCCTAATACCCCCAACCTCAAAACCTTCAGAAACCCTGACCCCAAACCCTAAGCCCTAAACCCCAAACTGCAAACCCTAAACCCTAAACCCTAAACCCTAAACCCTAAACCCTAAACCCTAAACCCTAAACCCTAAACCCTAAACCCTAAGTCTTGGCATGTTCCCCCCTATACCAACAGTCCGGACTAGTGATTATAATAGGGGTTCTGAAATCCCTATTAAGGACTGTTAGTATAAGGGGGAGCATCCCGACCTCAAAACCTTCAGAACCCCAAGCCCTAACCCTCAACCCTAAACCCCAAACCCTAAACCCTAATCCCCTAACCCTAAACCCCCAACCCCAAACCCTAAACCCTAATCCCCAAACCCTAAACCCTAAATCCTAAACCCCAAACCCTAAACCCTACACCCGAAAACCCCATCACCCCCAAAACCTAAACCGAAGCGCCCGCGGGCGAGGCCCCATTATCAGCCTCTGGTAAGCCTAAACCCTAAACCCTAAACCCTAAACCCTAAACCCTAAACCCTAAACCCTAAACCCTAAACCCTAAACCCTAAAACCCAAACCCTAAACCCTAAACCCTAAACCCCTAACCCTAAACCCCAAACCCTACAGGCCCCATTATCAGCCGTTGGTTGAGCACCTGGTGGAGCTGAGCTCCGTGCGGGAGTGCGTGCTCCCAGCTTTTTCTCTACAGGTCAGGGTTAAGGTTCAGGGTTCAGGGTTCAGGGTTCAGGGTTCAGGGTTCAGGGTTCAGGGTTCAGGGTTTAGGGTTTAGGGTTTAGGGTTTAGGGTTTAGGGTTTAGGGTCTAGGTATAGGGCTTCGGGTTTTGGGTTTAGGGTTTTAAGGTTTTTAGGGTTTAGGGTCTCGCTGTAGGGAATGAGGGGAGTAGGTACCCTAGTATAATCCGTATAAAGGGTATGCATGGGGGGGACATGAGATGCCTAATTCCCTCGTTCCTGGAAAGATCTAAGGGTAGTTTCATAGTCCCTTGATGATCTAAACCCTAAACCCTAAACCCTAAACCCTAAACCCTAAACCCTAAACCCTAAACCCTAAACCCTAAACCCTAAACCCTAAACCCTAAACCCTAAACCCTAAACCCTAAACCCTAAACCCTAAACCCTAAACCCTAAACCCTAAACCCTAAACCCTAAACCCTAAACCCTAAACCCTAAACCCCTAACCCTTAACCAAACCCTAAACCCTAAACCCGAAAACACTAAACACTAAACCCTACACCCACAACCCTAAACCCTAAACCTTTCTTTACAGGCGGGCTCTGAAGTATGGATCCTTGGGTTTCAAGGGACCATGCAACTACCCTTACAAAAGAACCCGCGCGTCTTTGGGTGCGTAGCCTCCGGTTCTGGGGCTTCAGGGCTTAGGGGTTGAGGGTCAAGGGGGTTCAGGGTTTAGGGGGTTTAGGGTTTAGGGTTTGGGGTTTGAGTCTCCCTCCCCCTCCCCCTCCCCCTCCCCCTCTCCCTCTCCCTCTCCCTCTCCCTCTCCCTCTGCCTCTCCCTCTCCCTCTCCCTCTCCCGCTCCCCCTCGCCCTCGCCCTGTCCCTCTCCCTCTCCCTCTCCCTCTCCCTCTCCCTCTCCCTCTCTCTCTCTCTCATTCTCTCTCTCTCTCTCTCTCTCTCTCTCTTTTTGAGGACTTCTAGCTGCTAGGCAGGGTCAGATGTGGGGACTTTTGGGGAGTCGGTCACTTGGTAGCCCAGTGGTACCCTTTTCCCTTTTCAAGGTTGCCTTGTAATAGTAACCCCAAAAAAGGGGTGCCCTGATTATGATATGGCTACTGGGCTACCAAGCTAACACCCCCCCCCCCCCCCCCCGAAGATCCTGAGATCCTGGTCTCTCACCCCTTGAAAACTACGTCTTTCATCTCAGAAAGGCAAAGTGGAATATACAAACGTGCTACTTCGTATTCTGGTTTTATTAAACTCATCACGAAATGTCCCTCAACAAATAAAACAATCTATGAACAAGCAATAATGAGACACACACACACACACACACAGACAGAGACAGAGACACAGACACAGACAAAGACAGAGACACAGACAGAGACAGAGAGTGCACCCTTGTGGCTGGTCCGCAGTTTCACGGCCCAAGCAAAAGTGGCCATGACAGCGATTGGCCTACTGCCACCCCTCCGCCCCTAAGCCCCGAAGCCCTCATCACCAAGCCCAACCACAAAACTAAGAGCCTCAGCTTTAGGGTTTAGGGTTTAGGGTTTAGGGTTTAGGGTTTAGGGTTTAGGGTTTAGGGTTTAGGGTCCCTAGGTTTCCGTATTCAGCAAGCATCTCCCTCAGCCTTACCTCATGGTGGCCACTGGGGAGTACCCCTGATGCAGCCCAAATACTACAGTCGGGTACCCAAACCCTAAATAAACCATAAGCCTTAACCCCGGGAAACCCCCCATGTCACTCCCATGTTAATGTCAGCCCCTGCAAGCTGGATCAAGTGTCAGTCAAGATTCGGCTGGAAGGTTTGCGTAGGGTTTCGGGTTGATGGTTGAGGTTTACGTACTTTACAAAGGGTTGATGGTTGAGGTTCACGGTTTCACGGTTTCAGGGCTTAAGGGTCTAGTCTAGGTGCCTTCCGATGACTTCTTCGACATCTACATTCTGTCTGGGGTGTGAAGAGCCCTGGAAGGTTCTTTATTACTACGGCCCCCTCGCCTTGGTAAGTATACGTTTCAGGGTCAGATATAGACAGAACAAACCCATACTGTTCGTAGGGTATGTACGTGTTATAGAGTGTATAGGTTTACTATTGCTACTCTCGCTCTTCCGATGTATCCCTCAACTGCTCCCAAGCCAGCCTTTCTTAGCAAACCCTAAACCCTAAACTCTAAGGGTCTTAGGGGCGGCTTAGCCGCCGGCCTCTGCCGGCTGGAATTGAAGGCGCCACCTTCCAGCGCACCGACAAGCACTCCCTAAACCCGAAACCCTAAACCCGAAACCCTAAACCCTAAACCCTGTACCCGGAACCCGGAACCCGGCACCCTAACTAAAGCCCCAAAGCTCTGACATGTCCAAAAATGCCTCATGGAGCCCCGAAACCCCCTTGATTAGCATCCTACTTGCGGGCCCGGGCTGTCTGCGGGATCAAGGTTTAACGATGCTTTGCAAAGGGGCTTCATTGTTCATGAACCCTGAACCCTGAACCCTAAACCCTAAACCCTAAACCCTAAACCCTAAACCCTAGACCTGTAAGGTTGTAAATTCCGAAGCTGGCGTGTCGGAGTTGCGCAGGGAAGGTGGGGAATCCCTTCTCCAAATTCAGACGGGCGTGTCTCAAGACTGAAGTCTCGGCAACTCACCCCGCTTGCCTACTAAAGTTTATAGGATTTAGGGTTTACGGTGTAGGGTTTGGGGTTTAATTAGGGTTTAGGGCCGTAAACCATAAACCCTAAACGCCTGAAGCCGCGTGAATGTTTCAGTCAACCCGGGGTCGTTTAGTACCCCAGACGTTGTAAACCCTAAACCCTAAGCTCTTTCGTCACACGAAGAATGGTCCCATATACTGCATTCGCTTGAGGGAAGCCGAACGCATCAGTTTACCAGGATAGGGTTATACGGTAAATAAAGGATACAGAAATACGCAGATTATACAGGAATCTAGCTAAGGAAATGGAACTAAGAGTTTATAGTCCTTAATGCACAACCTTGTTATGACAACTTCGGTGTTTCATCGGTTGACAGTTTGGTTTAAGTTTCTCAACAACTACCAAACCTAAATATAATTACCGGAAATAGGCTATTAAGGATATACAGTTGCAAACGCATAGCTTCCTTAGTAGGTTAAAATAGTACAAGTGTTGTAAAAAGGGTCCAGCATACAGGTTGGAACATGTGGCCCCTTGGATTCTGTCGGGAATCCAAGGGGTATGCATTCAGAGCCTTAGGGTTTAGGGTTTAGGGTTTAGGGTTTAGGGTTTAGGGTTCCAAATACCCTGAACCCCTAAACCACAGACGCCTCTGCTTGCGGCTGAGACACGCCCAGATGTGAACCCATGTCATAGCCTCCGCGAGCGGCACGATGCAGGAGTGCAGGGAAACCCCCAAATCCCCCAGCCATAGAGCCCAATCCCTGAACCCCAGCCAAACCCAAAAGCCCTCAATTTGGGTCTAACCCTTATATACACCGAAACGTAATAAGGGCCCATACTTCAGATCCCTTTTAACAAGGGTAAGGGACAGCACTAGCGGCCTTAGATAAGCCCCAAGAACCTCAAATCCTCAAGCCTACAAGGCCTTTGAATAAGCAACCATGGGACTTTCTGATGGGGTTTATGGCAGTAGTTTTTTTTTGAGCTTCAGAAGTTGAGGGGGGCTCTGAGAGGGGTTGACCTCAAAGGACGTGAAGGCTTTTGTGGCGTTTAGGGTGCATAGGGTTCAGGGTTTAGGGTGTAGGGTTTAGGGTGTAGGGTTTAGGGTTCAGGGGGGTTCAGGGGGTTTGGGGCGTGTGCCCTCCATGTCAAGTGTCTCTCACCCACCGACTTTGGGCTTTTGGACTTTGAGCCTGTCGGTTTGATCAAGGAACGAAAGGAGGGACCCTTACAAGGGACCTTAGGGGTCATTTAGGGTTTAGGGTTTAGGGTTTAGGATTTAGGGTTTCGGGTTTGGGGTTTAGGGTTTAGGGTGGGGCTATTTCGGGCCTACTTAGGTATATACAGAATACAGTCGGGGCTGTAGAAGGTACATACAGGGGGTTATGTTAGGGTTCTTAAGAAAGGGAGGCTGCTTCAAGGGGGGTTTGTAACCCAAGGTTCTCTAATGCTCCCCACTGGCTCCTAAGCTTCTCTAAGGTTGCCAGGTATCAACCCCCCATGCCCCCCCCGCCCTTAAGAACCCTATTGAGCGGGCTAGGATTTCCTTTGGGCTTGCAGGGGTCTTGCGGGCTTGCTCTTCGGTCCTTGGTCCTTAGGGTCGAGGGTTCAGGGTTTAGAGTTTAGGGTTCTAGAGGGTAAACCCGGTAACCCGAAACCCGAAACCCTACACCCTAAACCCCAAACCTAGACCCTAAACCCTAAACCCTAAACCCTAAACCCTAAACCCTAAACCCTAAACCCTAAACCCTAAACCCTAAATCAGCCCTTGCAGGATGCCCCGACGTCGCCACAGTCGGAGGCGGCGTACGACGAGATTCTTGGATGGTGTTGGGGGACCCTATGCACCCCAAAAGGGCTTAGCATAGGGTTTAGGGTTTATGGAAATTATTAAGGGCTCAGGTCCGGGGAAGTTTCGAGGAGTTTTAAGGAGTTTCTGTTCTGGATTTTCTTAATAATTTCAAGTTACAGGGGCTTGAGGGCTTAGGGTTTAGGGCAGAGGGCTTAGGGCTTAGGGTTTCAGGAGGTTCAGGGTGCTAGCTGTACTTATAAGCCCCCTAGCGCCCTGCTAGGTTCTCTAAGTAGGTTATAAGTTATAAGTAGACTTATCACCCTAAACCCTAAGCGCTAAACCCTAAACCCTACAGCCGGGGTAATAAGCACCCATGAACCTCCAAGCCGGCACGAGCGAGAAGGCTGTTCCTGAAGCATCTGGAGCCCCCATGTTTGGGGCCTTCCACAGCCCTGAGCCCCTCAGAGTTTAGGGTTTAGGGTTTAGGGTTTAGGGTTTAGGGTTTAGGGTTTAGGGTTTAGGGTTTAGGGTTTAGGGTTTAGGGCTAGGGTTTAGGGTATACTACTATCATTCCTATTAAGGTATATGCGCCGTAAGCCCTTTTAGGGTATATTTGGTCCCCGGGGATGGTCGCCCCATTTGCGAGCACCTCAAATACTCTGGGGACGAACCGAACCCTGGAAGGGTTTATGGTAATTGTCCCTTTTTGGGTTTAGGGTTTAGGGTTTAGGGTTTAGGGTTCAGGGTTTAGGGTTTAGGCGTGCCCGTTGGGATGTTTTCCTTGTCCTAACAGTCCTTAATGGGGAAACTAGTGCCCCCCTATTATAATAAATCCCTGCTAAGGACTGTTAGTATAACGGGGATCCCAAGGTCCCTTTTGGGACCCCATTATTTCAATTACCCAACAAGGGACCAGCATTTAGAGAACTGACCCTAGAGGAGATTATGGTAGTATAGGGTTAGAGTTTAGGGAGGAAAATTGTAGTATAGAGTAGGTGATCCCAATATTCGGGTTCCCCCCCCCCCCCCCCCCCAAAGGTGTCCATATTTACGAGAGCCGGTCACATGTCTAAGGGTAGTTACATGGGCCCTTAATATGGTCCCTCACCTCCCTTCAAGGGTTCTGAAGTATGGTTGGGGTTTATAGGGTATATAAGGGGCATCTATATGGTCCCCCTCTACGGGCACACACACTAAGGGACCATGAAGCTACCCTAAGAACATGACCGCCAAGGACCCTCCTCATCCGCGACGCACGGAAAGAGGACGAGGAATCGCCCCGACCCCCTAAACCCCAAGCCCTGAACCCTAAACCCTAAACCCTAAAGCCTAGACCCTAAACCCTAAACCCGTCTCTATTCCCCAACTCGCACGGCCTCCAGCGAGCACTTCACAAGATGGTTGTGTAGCGTGTGACTTGTGTTTGGTTTCCATCCTGTGGTTTGACCCAGGTGGTCCGACACAGGGTTTAGGGTTTAGGGTTTGGGTTTAGGGTTTAGGGTTTAGGGTTTAGGGTCTAGGGTTTAGGGTTTAGGGTTTAGGGTTTAGGGTTTACGGTTTAGGGTTTAGGGTTTAGGGTTTAGGGCATACTAACCCTAACCGCTACTTAACCCTGAACAAGGGGTTCCTTCCTGAACTTTAAGCCCCCACCCGACCCCAAGCCCTACGTTTTGGGTTCTTAGGGACCCTCAACGACCCTAAACCCCAAAACCCTCAAAGCCCCTAAGCCCTGCAACCCAAAAACCTTAAAACCCTAAACCCCTAAAACCCTAACACCCTAAAACCCTAGAACATTAAAGCCGTGAAACCCTACAACCCCTAAAACCCTTGAAACCCTGAAACCCTAAGACCCTTAAGCCCTAAAACCTTAAACCCTAGACGCTAAATCCTGAAACCCTAAAGCCCTTTAAAGTTGTGGGCCCAAACGGCGCCTAAACCCTAACTAAACCCTAAACCTTAAACCCTAAACCCTGAACCCTAGACCCTAGACCCTAGACCCTAAACCCTAAACCCTAAACCCCAAACCCTAAACCCTAAACCCTAAACCTGCGGGAGGAGCTCCTCTTGGGGCGTGCGCGCGGCTACCGCGTGGAGAAGGTCATCGGGCGAGGCGCTGCGGCCGCCCATTAAGGGTTTAGGGGGTTGGGGGTTTAGGGTTTAGGGTTTAGGGTTTGGCTCTTGGGGTTTAGGGTTTTAGGCTTAGGGTTCAGGGTTTTAGGTTTTAGGGATTTATGGTTTCAGGTTTAGGGTTTAGGGGTTTTAGGTTTTCAGGTTTGGGCATCAGGTTTTTAGGGTTTGTTGTGTAGGGTTTTAGGGTTAAGGGTTTAGGGTTTTAGGTTTTAAGGTTTGGGCTTTAGGGGTTTTGGGGGTTTAGGGGTTTTAGGGGTTTTCGGGGTTTTAGGGGTTTCAGGGGTTTTAGGGGTTTTAGGGGTTTTAGGGTCTTATTGCTTTGGGGCTTCGAAGGGTTTTAGGGTTTAGGGGGTTGTAGGGTTTTAGGGGTTTTAGGGTTTTAGGGTCTAAGGGTTTTTAGGGTTTTAGGGTTTTAGGGTTCTAGGGTTTTAGGGTTTTAGGGTTTTAGGGTTTTCGGGTTCAGAGTTTTTTTAGTCTTAGGGGTGTACGTTTGAAATAGAGGGCTCCAGGGTTGAAGGGTGATGGGGTGTACAGAGCTCCTAGATAGTTCCCTTAAACCCTAAACCTTGAACCCTAAAACCCTTTCGCCCGAAAACCCTAAACCCTAGACCTTGAACCCTAAACCCTAAACCCTAAACCCTAAAACCCTAAAACCCGAAAACCCGAAAACCCTAAACCCTAAACCCTGAGAAGCCAGGCGAGATAGCATGTATCGGCTTCGCAGGGATTAGGATGTGTGTTACTGCACCCCGCAAACAGCCGGTTGAGGGTTCACGGTTGAGGAGAGAAGGGTTAAGGGTTTAGGGTTTAGGGTTCATGTGGGAGCCTATTTACCTGCAGATTAGTAATAGGTACCCCTTATTTAGTAGGTATAACCCTTAAAACTGTAGGTAAATAGGGTCCCAGGTAGTGTTAAGGGTTTAGGGTCCAGGGAGGCTCCGTTACAGACATGATTTTGTGCGCATAAAAATCATGTTTTCTGAGCTAGGTTTCGCTCCACAAACCCTAAACCCTAAACCCTAAACCCGAAACCCGAATCCGTAAACCCTAAACCCTAAACCCTAAACCCTAAACCCTAAACCCTAAACCCTAAACCCTAAACCCCAAACCCTAAACCCTAAGCCCTAAGCCCTAAACCCTAAACCCTAAACCCTAAACCCTAAACCCTAAACCCTAAACCCTAAACCCTAAACCCTAAACCCTAAACCCTACCCCAACAATGTCGGCAACAAATAGCCCCGAATCCCTGCCGACCAGAGACCGGTCCACGCCCTCCCCCCTCGGAATCCGGAACCCTTAGGGTTAGGATGTAGGGGTAGGGTTTGGGGTTTGGGGTTTGGGGTTTGGGGTTTGGGGTTTGGGGTTTAGGGTTTAGGGTTTAGGGTTTAGGGTTTAGGGTTTAGGGTTTAGGGTTTAGGGTTTAGGGTTTAGGGTTTAGGGTTTAGGGTTAGAATTCCTTAGGGAACCCTAACACCGACGCTGGAGGTAGCTTTGGAGCTGTATTTCTGGCTCGCGATGGGGAGCAGCTGCAGCGAGTGATCAAGGCCCCGCAGCAAGAAAGTGCAGGGGTCGCTGGGCTACGAGTTTTGAAGGGTTTTGGGGCACTTGTCGGCTTAGGGTTTAAGGGTTTAGGGGTTTAGGGTTTAGGGTTGAGGGTTTAGGGTTTAGGGTTTAGGGTTTAGGGCTTAGGGCTTAGGAAGTCGGGAGATTGGGGAGCCTGAGCCCTAAACCCTAAACCCTATATAGGGTTTAGGCATGGGGGCGGGAAGGGGCGCCATCGTTGCAGTGATAGTCCCGCGCTGTTTGCAGAGGGCAAGGAGATTGCAGCGTGACCTTAACGTCGACGTCTTCTTGCGTCAAAAGGACCGTCATGATGTCTTTGAGTGGAGGAAGGGGTTTCATCATTAAGCATCGCGCGCAGTCGATGAGTTTAGTATGTCCCTAAACCTTGAAACCCCAAAACCCTAAACCCTAAAAACACTAAAACCCTGAACCCCACACCCTAAACCCTAAACCTAAACCCTAAACCCTAAACCCTAAACCCTAAACCCTAAACCCTAAACCCTAAACCCTAAACCCTAAACCCTAAACCCTAAACCCTAAACCCTAAACCCTAAACCAGACCTCTAACTCAAAGATCCTTGCAGTGAGCAGGCGGTGGAGGTCCAGCGCGCGAAGCCTTCCCACTCGGTGCACCAGGAGGTGGCTGTGATGAAGTGCCTCAGGCTACTGGGCTGCAGGCACCCTAAGCCCGAAGCCCTAAACCCTAAACCCGAAACCCTAAACCCTAAACCCTAAACCCCAAACCCCAAACCTTTTATTTCCTAAACCCTAAACCCTAAACCTCAGGGTCTCGGGGTTCTGTGGTTCTATGGCTTGGTGTCTCGGGGTTCCATGGTTCTATGGCTTGGTGTGCCTTAGGCTACTTGGCTGTGGGTCTCGGGGTTCCGTGGTTCGATGGTTTGCTGTGCCTTAAGCTACTCGGCTGCAGGCCTCGGGGTCTAGGGGTTCTATGGTTCTATGGTTTGGTTTGGGGGCCAAGGGAAGGGGGGGGGGGGGGGGGGGGGGGGGGGGGGGGGGGGGTGCTGGTTCTTTTTGTTATTGTTTTGGTGTAGGGTTTATAGCGTTTAGGGCTTCGGGTTGCAGGGTTCAAAGACACAAGTGACCTGCCCTGTACAGAGAAGAAGCTCGACAGTGCCCAGGCATCCGCACATCATCCGATTCCGGGACAGCTTCATCGAGAAGGCCCCTGTTTCCTTCCCCTGTTTGGGTTTAGGCAGGGTTTAGGGTTTAGGGGTTTAGGGGTTTGGGCCTTGCGGTTTAGGGCGTTCGGGTTTCAGGATTTTTGGCCGAGGGTTTTGTTGACAGTCAGGGTTTGGGGGATGGCAGTGATTTCTTCCTCTTTCGCCTTAAGGACGCACATGTTGTGGGGCCTTTCGAATCATACGCCCTACAAGCCGATGGCTGTGGTATGCTTAGGGATTATGTGTCGATGTGTTGTGTTTGGGATGTTCCCCCTTATACTAACCGGCCTTACCTCGACTATAATTCCCCTTACCCCTTAAGGACTGTTAATACACGGGGGAACTACGTCCCAAGTTGTATTTGTTTTACCAAAGGATTGCATTAAAAAAACAAACAGGATGGTTGGAATGGGGAGTATAGAAGCCCACCCATGCTTCTGGGGATCCCAGCTAGGGTGTAGGGTTCAAGGTTAGGGTTTAGGGTTTAGGGTTTAGGGTTTAGGGTTTAGGGTGTAAGAGGACCTTCTCTGCATCGTCATGGACTTTGCGCCTGCCGGAGATTTGCTGCTTGGGCAGCAGCTCACAGGCTTGGCGCGAAAATTGGCCTGCATGGGTTGGAGTTTGGGGTTTGGGGTTTAGGGTTTAGGGTTTGGGGTTTAGGGTTTAGGGTTTAGGGCTTAGGGTTTAGGGTTTAGGGTTTAGGGTTCAGGTTCAGGGTTCAGGGGGGTTCCGAGGGTTTAGGGTCCCGAGGGTTGAGGGTTTAGAGCGTTTAGGGTTAAGGGGCCGGCCAAGCACAACTTAGGCATCCTTTGGCCAAACTAGCAGACCTTACAGCCAAATGCCCCCCCAAAAGTTCGAAACTCCTCAAGCCCTTCAAGTTCACGAAGCCCGCAGAAATAGAATTGGAGTGGGTGGGGGGGTTACAATATGACCCCTCAACCCTAAACCCTAAACCCTAAACTCTAAACCCTAAACCCTAAACCCTAAACCCTAAACCCTAAACCCTAAACCCTAAACCCTAAACCCTAAACCCTAAACCCTAAACCCTAAACCCTAAACCCTAAACCCTAAACCCTAAACCCTAAACCCTAAACCCTAAACCCTAAACCCTAAACCCTAAACCCTAAACCCTAAACCCTAAACCCTAAACCCTAAACCCTAAACCCTAAACCCTAAACCCTAAACCCTAAACCCTAAACCCTAACCCTAAACCCTAAACCCTAAACCCTAAACCCTAAACCCTAAACCAATTTTAGGGTTCATCTGGTCCCCAACCCGAGCGTCGTTCTCAGGCTGCTTCGTGTGGACGCTGCGCGGCGGGCGTCGAAGCCTTCACTCCCAGAGGAGCCCACAAGCTTTGCAGGGTTTAGGGTTTAGGGTTTAGGGTTTAGGGTTTAGGGTTTAGGGTTTAGGGTTCAGGGTTCAGGGTTTAGGGGTTGGGGGGGGTTAGGATTTAGGGTTTAGTGTTTAGGGCTTAGGGGACTCTTGAGCTTGGGTCTCTGCACAACGTCCACAGGCAAAAACAATTGTGAGCTTCAAATGACGTGAAAGGGCGCCCCAGATGAATTTTACAAGGCCCAAAGCTTGTCTTTCAGTGAAGATGTCTTAAAAATAGTCCCTATCTACTAAGTGGGCCCCAAATAACCCCTAAAGTAAACCCTGAACCCTGAACCCTAAACCCTAAGTTCCCTTGTAAGGGTCCCTCCTTTAGTCCCTTGAGTGAGGATGCCTCCAAGACTCTCCAACCTGCAGGCACCCCCTCGTAATGGCCAGGAAGAGCTGACGTGAAAGGGGGGGCCCATTTTGCCCTACCCCTAACCCTAAACCCTAAACCCTGAACCCTAAACCCTAAACCCTAAACCCTAAACCCTAAACCCTAAGCCCTAAACCCTAAACCCTAAACCTTACACAGCAACATCTAGGGTTAGGGCTTGGGATGTTTCAGGGCTTTTGTTCGGGTGTTAACAAATGGGCTGGGGATTCCGAGCTTCGACTCCTGCGTGGGGTGCTCGGTCGGAGCTTGACAAGGGGTTTAGGGTTTAGGGTTTAGGGTTTAGGGTTTAGGGTTTAGGGTTTAGGGTTTAGGGTTTAGGGTTTAGGGTTTAGGGTTTAGGGTTTAGGGTTTAGGGTTTAGGGTTTAGGGTTTAGGGTTCAGGGCTGGGAGTTTTCCGGTAAAGAGATTGCGGCAATGATTGCCCATCAAGTGCCGACCGAGGTTCTTAAAAAAAGTGGAACTTTTGACAAGGGGGAGCGACTCTGACCCCATCAACAGCCTTGAGCCCCAAGCATCCCAGCTTCCGTCTGTAATCCCAAAACTGCGCATCTAATCCAATCAACCTCATGGACTACTATTTGCTTCAGCACCCCGGCCACTCTTCCTTACAACGGCAAGACAGGGCTCAGGGATTATGATCTTCTTTTTTTTGGAGGTGGTTCTTAAGAAAAATAGTAGTAGAAATCTAGCCATAAAACTCGCCCGCAGGAGCAGACAGTGCAATGGTTTGTGCAGGCGCGTGCCTTCGGCAACTGACGGTAGAAGCGCTGGGAGTTTTTGAGGGTTAAAGGGCTCATGTCATGGCGATTATGTGGTCAGTCCTCAAAATGCTGACCCCTTGTTGGTACCCTAAAAATTTGGGGCCGCCATACAATAGTGACTTTAAAAGCGACCGTACTTCAGAGAAGTGACCAACATGTTCTTATGTATGGTTCGGGAGTTCGTAGGCCAGGCCTATTTTGAGGTTAAAGGCAGAACTGAAGGCTGTGAGTTCAAAAATGCGGGAATGGGGGCGGAGGCTTCGTCTTGCAGCTTCATGGGTGCGTCTTAGCCCAAGGATACACGGGAGCTTATAACTGGGTTATAACTGCAGTTATTAGTTCCCTGAAACTCCAAGTCTTGTGGGGGGTACAAAAGCTTGCTCTAAGCTTCTGTCCGCCTTTTTGGGGCAGTAGCCTAGGTAGGCCCCTGGTATATATTTTTCATTTTTCCCTTATTGGGTTTAAGAGGATTCATATTCAGGAATATTTTGCATAGGGATTTCAGGGCCATTGTAGAAACCCTAAAACCTAAACCCTCTCTTGTCTATATATATATATATATGTATATGTATATGTATGTATATATATATACACATGTGTATATATATACACGTATGTGTATATGTGTGTATATATATATGTGTGTGTGTATGCATGCATGCATGTATGTATGTATGTATGTATGTATGTAGCACGACGGTGCCCCAATGTTCTGCAGCAACGACCATGAGTGAAAAGGCCGTCGCCGGGGTCAAGTACATGCACAGCCTGTGCATCATCCACCGCGACATCAAGAATGAGAGACGTGCCTGCAGCTAGACCCTCCAAGTAGACCCAAAACCGTCCAGAAGAATGGCCTACACAAATATTCACTTTGAGCCCCTGTTTGAGGGTTCACGCTAAAGACGATCCTAACAATGCCAAAGTCCTTAACCTCCCACCTCAAGAGATGGGTTTATCATTTTACGGTCTTATGTTAAGGCTTAGGGTCAGCCTTCAATCCTCAACCTGCCAAGCCCTGACACATCCCAGTCGGTTCTGTCTACCAATGCTTCCCAGTCAGTTCCGCTTCCCCCCCCCCCCCGTCCACCCCTACATCACCCAGCCTCGAGCCTCAAATCCTTCAATCCGAATGGCGAAGAGACCCAAAAGATGTAAGGGCCTTGACGTCCTAAGACCTTCAAAATTCCCTAAGCCCTGACACCCTAAATCCCAAACCCCTAAACCCTTCAACCCAAATTCTCTAAACCCTCTCCCTAAACCCTAAACCCTAAACCCTAAACCCTAAACCCGAAACTCTCTCAAAACCCCTAAACCCTAAAGGAACCTCTTCCTGGAGTCCGAAGTCCACCTGCGCATTGGCGACTTCGGCCTGGCGAAGAGGCTGAAACGCGCGCCTTGGGCGAGGAACGGGTGCTTTCGGAGGTTTAGGGTTTAGGGTTTACGTAGGGTTTAGGGTTTGGGGTTTAGGGTTTAGGGTTTAGGGTTCAGGGTTTCGGGTTTAGGGTTTAGGGTTTGGCGAAGTTTGTTCGGGTGTCTGGGGTACAGGGTTATGGAGCTGCAGAGGGCTGCAGGAAAATTGATTGCGCTGCAGGGTGTTGAGGGTTCTGGTTTTAGGCCGCTTGGGGGCGTCAAAAGCGTGGCGCTAATTGCTGTGAAAATGATCGAACCCAGGCCTACTCGGCAGAGCCCGAATTGTTTTTGAGACATCCCTGTTTGTTCCTAGGCCTTAAACTCCAAAGTAGCAAGTGCCCCTTGCCTTCCGAGGTTACGGAGATCTTCGTAGAACAGCAGATCGTTGGCACGCCTCTGGGCTGGACAAGCATTGAA